ACTTGCAGGACGCGCAGTAGCTTTTTTGGGGGGCAAGTGGGCTCTTCGAGGTGCAGGATAGCTAGTAGCGAGGAAAACAACCAGGGAGACTCTTTGACAGGTAGTATGGACAGATACAATTCCAAAGTGGCACCAGTATCTAAGATAGGTAGAGTCCGGGGCAGAAATAGACGTAGTCACGAGCACCGAGCCACTTTTTTTTTCATTTTTCATGTTCATTTTATTTCAAGTTCTCTTATTACATGAAAATACACAACACTGGTTAGACCCATAGCCACTGGCTAGTAGGGGGTCTAAATAAATATGCATTTAAAGGAACAGATTGTGTTAACAAAGCAGATATTTTATAAGTACACTTCAATCATACAAGAAAAAAATCTAAACAAAGTATAAGAAGGAAACATATTTGTGATAAGTCATTTGCAGTATCTTGCAGCATTGTTCCATGCAAACAACGGATTGCATGTAAACAATACATCGAATACATAAAGGTACGTATACCATGTCAAGTATGATTTTGTTAGACATATAATCTATACATAACGAAGTGGAGATTACAACGAGGTTTGTGTTAGTGTACCTGTTCATTTTTCTGCAAAGTACTTTTTAAGAGCACAGGCAAAACTTTTGCTTTCTTTTATTTGGTATGGTATATTATTCCAGACCTTTACTCCAGCAAATTGTAGCAATCGTTTGCAATAACCTTGTTAGTAGGCGGAAGATTGAAATTATGCAATGTGGCACGTCTGGTAAGGCGGCAAGAGGATCAAAATACTGATATATGAAAGGGCAGGTTATAAGAAATGACATTAGAGACGGTAAGTGCAATTTTTTGCTGTCGTAAATTTTCGAATGGTATGATTTCCATAGTACGAAACAATGGCGCGCAGTGTTGATCATATCTAGCATTGTTTATTATTCGAAGTGCCCGCTTTTGTAGTATACGTAAGGGTTCTAGATATGTTTTAAAAGTCCATCCCCATGAATCTATGCAATATGTGAGGTGACAATGAAAAAATGTGAAATAGAGAATGCGGAGAATACTACTTTTAAAATAATTTCTAGCGGTTAATAATGTACTGCATCCAGATCCCAGTTTAGCGCATACAGAGTTAATGTGGCTTTGCCAGTTTAGCTGGCTATCGAGAATTACACCCAGATATTTGAATTCAGACATAGTGTATATTAACATGCAGGGTGGTAGGAACAGGCTGAAGTGGGAAGAGATAGAGGAACAGCTAAGGGAAGAGAGGCCGATGGTATACGGTTTTGTAGAAACACATCTCAGGGGCATGAAACAACCTCCGAACAATCCGGACTACGCATGGGAATATTGTAATAGAACAGAAGGCAGCAGAAAGGGGGGGGGGTGGTATTGGGGCATTCATTCATAAAAGTACAGACTGGCAAAGGGTCAAGCAGGAGTGCAAGAAACATTTATGGCTAAAAGAGAAAGTGGCAGGTCAAAGGACACTCCTTGGCTTCGTGTACTTGTGGACGGGAGCAAAGGCCAGAGAGGAAAACCAGGCAATGGTAGAGTATATATCAAAGGACATTCAGGAGTTAGGAAGAGAGTGCGAGATAATTATACTAGGATACATGAATGCGCACATATGAGATATAGACGGGTATACCGACCCAACAGGCAAAATGATCATGGATATGTGTGAAAGGCTGGATTTGATCATTTGCAACAGTACCGAGAAGTGTGAAGGGCAAATAACATGGGAGGTAGCAAGGCTGCAGTCGACAATATATTATGCACTGATGTCACATAGGATGTATGATAAGCTCAGGGGAATGCACATAGATGAAGGTGGCTCCAGAAGTCTAGGTAGTGATCACAAACGTATCAAGCTAAGTTTTGGAAGAGCAGTGAAAGTGGGAAGGAGACGATGAGCAACTACAGGAAAATTTTTATCCAGAAAGGCAAATAGACGTAGCCACGAGCGCCGAGCCAATTCAGACATAAGGTATATTAATATGCAGGGTGGTAGGAACAGGCTAAAGTGGGAAGAGATAGAAGAACGGCGAAGAGAGGAGAGGCCTATGGTATACGGTTTTGTAGAAACACATCTCAGGGACATAGAACAACCTCCTAACAATTCAGACTACGCGTGGGAATATTGTAATAGAACAGAATGCAGCAGAAAGGGGGGGTGGTATTGGGGCATTCATTCATAAAAGTACAGACTGGCAAAGGGTCAAGCAGGAGTGCAAGGAACATTTATGGCTGAAAGGGAAAGTGGCAGGGCAAATGACACTCCTTGGTTTCGTGTACTTGTGGATGGGAGCAAAGGCCAGAGAGGAAAACCAGACAATGGTAGAGTGTATATCAAATGACATTCGGGAGTTAGGAGGAGAGTGCGAGATAATTATACTAGGAGATATGAATGGGCACATAGAAGATATAGATGGGTACACCGACCCGACAGGCAAAATGATCATGGATATGTGTGAAAGGCTTGATTTTATCATTTGCAACAGTACCGAGAAGTGTGAAGGGCAAATAACAAGGGAGGTAGGAAGGCTGCAGTAGACGATAGATTACGCACTGATGCCACATAGGATGTATGATAAGCTCAGGGGAATGCACATAGATGAAGGTGGCTCCAGAAGTCTGGGTTGTGATCACAAACGTATCAAGCTAAGTTTTGGAAGAGCAGTGAAAGTGGGAAGGAGACAAGATGAGTAAATAGAGGAAAATTTTTATCCAGAAAGGCAAAAAGAAATAGCCACTAAACAAATTGAGAAAGAAATCATGGAGGATAATAAAACAGTGTGGACATAGACGAATCTAATTAGACTGTTTGAGCTAGAGCTTGCTAAGACGCGTGACAAGTCACCCCGAAAGAAGACACTAACCCAAAAGTTGGTGGGATGGGGAAGTTAAGAGAGCCATAGGAAAACGTCACGAAGCTTCTAGGGATCACAGACATGCTAAGCAGCGGGGTGAACCGACAGATGAAGTTGAAAGAAAATTGGAAACCTTTCTAGGCTGTAGAAGGGATGCATCCCTTCTGATCAATGAAAAGATCAGAAGAACGGGAGCTCAGTGGCTGGCAGAAGTACATACGAAAGATAGAAAGGCAGCTGCGAAATTTTGGAACCATCTAAATTCCCTAAGAAATGAGACGAGAATCAGGGCGTACAAAGTGATATGGGATTGACATCATTTAAGGGCAGGGAAGCTAGCAGCAAGATAAAATTTGAGAAGCGATTGAGAGAAATGGGGGAGGAGCGTTGGGCTAGGAAGGTATTCAGCTACTTGTGCATGAAGAATGTCGATACAAAATGGAGGAAGCGAACCAGAAAATTGACTGGTAAATACTTAAAAAACGCAGGGGGCCAAACCAAAATAATTATTGGTTTAGAAGAAGGTGAAGGAAGCTGATACCGATATGTGGAGAATTAGCATGATTAAGAAGTCCGCACTAGAGTTCTATCGAATTTTTAAGCAGGAAATTGCCAAGGAAAGGATCTATGATAATACTCGGGGTAGTTCTCTACTTTTTGAGGCCAGGACGGGAGTATTGCGAACGAAGACATATCGGGCCAAATACGAAGGGGTAGACACGGTATGCAGTGCGTGTGGAGAGGAAGAAGAAACTGCCGAACACTTGATAATGTTCTGTAAAGGGCTTCGCCCTATTGTTCAGGATGATGGCGCAGAGTTTTTTCAAAGCAGTTGGGTTTAGGGACAGGGAGGGCAAAATAGACTTTAACCCTTTCAGCCCTGGATTTTTATTTGGTCAGATACACTTTTTGTGCGCGTTTTTCTAGTAGTTAGGACCTCAGAAGACCAAAAACAAAAAAATGAGCCACTGGTACAAGCATTTTCGAATTAATTAACGTGGCATCAAATTAAGTAATTAGGCCCCTGTGATTAGAAAATGAAAAAAGTGGCTTATTTTTTTCTGCCAATCAATGGTGTACACAAATGGAAACCAACGTCTTGCTTTTCAGCCTAATACTCACTGAAACAGCTTCGGTACGTCGTTCCGAAAATGGCGCTTACCCGCCTCAACTTACGCGCCTCGGCTTCACGGAAGACCTCGGTCACGCTTCTTCTTTGTGGCTGCTACCTCCACAAACGTGCCGCAATATTGATGTCCATTGCAGTGGAAATCATTGAAGAACTACGCCCCCAAGAATGAGCAGTATTGGTTACGTTTCCGAGATACTAGGGCAAAATTTGTGTGGTGGTGTCAATTGACACCGCCAGGGCCGAAAGGGTTAAGCGGGTAGAATTAACTAGAAGGGGGTTATATGATTGGTGGCTAAAGTCAAGGCACGAGTGAAAATAAACGCTTCACTGCAAAGTATGAATCCTCAACCTCACTTATTAAAAGAAAAAAACTCTAGTTTTTGGTTCATTAAGTATTACGGCTTGGTGGCGCTAGCCACCGCCCGATCTAAAGGGTACAGCCATATCCATCCATCCATCCATCCAGTCAAAGTAAGGAAAAAACTTGCGCGAAAGTGTGGAAAAGAGCGAAGAGAGAGCAAAGGAATGAGCTAAAACGCCCGATTCCGCATTGCACAGTTTGTCACGCGCAACGCGTTTAGTGGCGGCGGAGTCCGCAGTCCTGTCATTATACTCCGGGTCTGGGACATGTATATTCGTCATTCTTCGGTGAAGCGTCATACCCGCTACATACTTGCAAGATATGTACGAGTGCAATTTTTTTATGCTGTGTCTGACGATGATGAAGGATCATGCCTTTGTAACACACACAGAGAGAGAGAGAGAGACAATGAACCTTGAAAAGTAACTAACGGCCCCCCGTTCACGTAGAAGGCTAGAATGCTCCGCCAGAGATCACTTTCCGTTGGTAACGAAGGACTACAACGTGTTCCGAAAGGACTGATATGACATGGCATCTATAGAAATACTTTTACGAGTCCACGTGACACAAAGGGAAAGAAACACCACTTGCCTTTCTGCGAGATGACTAGCTCCTGGACTTGCTTCCTGAGAACCATTACTTCCTCCTTGATGAGCGAGATGTCGCCCTGCACACACTCGAGATGTTGCGTTTCACACGGCCCCAGGGTCCACAGGCAGCTCTCCTTGCCACTACAGTCGCTCCCATAGCACCTGTACAGTCGAGCTTGGTTTTCAAGAGGTACATGGTTTACAGAGACAAAACTTTAAAAGAAAATTTCATTACATTTTGGATATATACAGATTTTATTTCACATTTACACATAGTTTCACAATTCATCCACAGTTTAGACCTGTGCAATAAGTACAAGCTGAATCAAACATGTTTTGGGTCACCTATTTAGCTTACTGGTGGGTGCCTCCCGATCTAAAGCAGCTAAACGTCCGTTATTTCTCTGCACTCTCAGCTGTCCCTGAGCAGAGCGTAAGCGAGCCGGTGAGCTGATCTACGCAAACAAAACTTGCTTCTCCGCAAGGGAGAACTTCGGAGCGCAAGTTGCTTCGGCGCTCTACACGTTCGTGTAAAAAGATGTCCAGGCTTAAGGACTGTCCTAAATTTTTTTTCTTTACTTGCATGTCGGAGTCAGTTTACTATACTTGTGTGTTGCTCTGTGTATGTTGTGTATTAATTGTACAACGTTCAAATTTTACAATTGTCTTACGGTGCATGGTACCCCGTCCGCGCGGTAATAGAGAATTGTATGTCTTCGGCGTTCACCGAAATGATTGCAGTGTAGTTACAGGATGCACGAAAGTCACTTCACTCGCTGCAGTTTCTCAGTCTGCTAAAACAGCACGCTTTTCAAACGCACTGAAGTAACAACTGTGGCAAGTCAGTTCACGCTCATCCGGTGTATGTATAGCTGTGCGTACACGTTTCGTGCGTCCTTTGAGTTTGAGCAGCGTGTTGAGTGTTGAGCTGGGAACATTGTTAACTCGTGTTCATCCTGTGCGTTCTCTCGTTTTCAGCAGTATTCTCCGCGTTTAGGTTCGGTTGCTGTTCTTTGCATGATATTTGAATTCGTAGCTATCAAATTCATTGCTTTGTCTGTGAAACTACGCCTTTTTAGCACGAAACTGTTTTATGCCAGGGTCCACCATGGGTCTGCTGACGTATTACCGCCACGGATATGACGTCGTAAAACATTTGAACAGATTGCCGAGAGAAAAACGATAAAATTTTGTCTCGAGGTGTCGAAACAGCGACCTTTAGCTAAGCAGCGCGTGGCACTAACCACTAGGTAATGAAGCGTGCGTTATGAAAATTGCTAACAGCAAGCCATTTATATACACCATATGCTTTCTGTGGTCCTCGGAGCTCCAAAACTTCATCGCGTTTTAGTCATCAGTAGCGATATGACACGACGGGCACGCGTTGGGCTGTTGGGCGTGCTCTAAAAGTCGTCTCTTTTTGCATTTACATGAGTGCGGGGCATCTACGTAGCATGGTCTCTGTCGCACGCACGCTAATCAAACTTATGATTTGGGAAATCACGAAAGTCACTTCTCTTGCTGCCGCGGCCGCGTTTGCGGAAGAAATACGCTGCTCGCACTCGAAGTAGTAAGAATTGTGACAGTTGTTCGCGCTTGTCTTGTGTATATACTTCTGTGTTCGTTTCTTGCGTCCCTATTTATGTTTTATTTAACAGTGCACTTTGAGTGTTGAGCTGCGACAGTTGTTAATCCGCACACGTCCTATGTGTGCTCATTTTGTGTGTTCTTTCTGCCCGAGGTGCGTGCCGCAGGTTTTGAGTTGCTTGCCGTTCTTCGAGTGAATATGAAATTTGTTGCTGTAGCATTCATGTCTTCGCCCTTGTGGCAAAGCAATGCACAATAAACGCTCAACTACCTCTGCAAAGACACGTTTCACTTTCGCATACCAATTTTAAGAAAGAGGGATCAGCCACGTTTTCTCCTTGCTTTTTCATTTGTCATATAAGTATACAGCAATTAAAAACTACAATTAATGTTCGATATGCTTTCCTTGGCTCTTTTGTCGGTCACTCTCAAATGATTGCATCTAGCAAAAAAAAGGCTGATCTCGTGTACGGCGGGGGGGGGGGGGTAAACAACAAGAGGGAAGGCAGGGAGGTTAACCAGGCACATGTCCGGTTTGCTACCCTACGCTGGGGGAATATGAAGGGGACATAAATATGAGAGAGAGAGAGGAAAGAGAAAGAGAGAGAGAGAAAAAAAGGAGGATTGTCAGTCAATCGGCTGGCGCGCATGCAGCGGTGGCACTACACAAAAGTTAAAGGTGGTCACATAGGCCTGTAGTCCTCAAAAAGCACAAGACAGCTTTGACTGCTTTTTGAGCCGACGAAAGGCGATGACGGTGTTCCAGTAGCATCTGCACAGAGAGTGGCCGATCGTCCAATTGCCCCAATGCGTCCGAAAGCTTCTGTCTTTGTGAGGCAAATCGAGGGCAATGACATATCAGATGGTCGATGTCTTCTTTGGTGCAGCAGACGTCGCATTTCGCATTGTCGGTCAATCCGATGAGGGTTCTATATGCTTTTGTGAAGGCAACCCCCAAACATAGGTGGCAAAAAAGTGAAGCTTCATGTCGACGAAGTCCGGATGGAGGTCGAAGTTCCAGTCGAGGGTTTATTTAGTATAGTCTCGTATGTCTTATGCTTGGGGTGTTCCACTCCTGCAGACTCAGACAACGTGCCAGGGGATGAAGTTGATTTGCAGCGTCAGTCCTTGACAAAGGAATCGGAAGGGTGTGTTCTTCTTGGTGCGATGTACGAGCCGCGTTGTCTGCGGAATCATTGCCACTGATCCCACAATGGCCAGGAAGCCACTGAAACTTGACCTCGTGGCCTGTTTCTGTGACGTGGTGAACGAGCTTGACAACTTCGTAAGTTAATTGTTCATGGCAACCTCGTCGAAGGACTGACTGCATGCTCTGTAGGGCTGGTTTTGAGTCGGAAAACACAGCCCATTTACTAGGTCTTTGGGATTTGATGTACTCTATGGCGCCACGCAAAGCCGCAAGTTCTGCCGCTGTGGACGTAGTGGCATGTGAAAGTTTGATTCACAGAGTGATTCCTCCAGCTGGAATCACCACCGCACCACCAGAACCAGACGCTGTGGTTGAACCATCGGTGTATATGTGCACGTGGTTTTAAATTTCGTGCAGATGGCTCAAGCTCAATTGTTTTAGGGCTGATGAAGGCAAATTTGATTTTTTCTGTATTCCTGGAATTGAAACACGTACTTGTGGAAGTGTCAGGCACCACGGAGGATACACCAGTCTCTCAGCAGGCGTAAAACCTGACGTAAACGACACACGATGAGCGCAGACAATTGCACTAAATTTCGCGCGGGGCCTCTCAGTAGCGAGGGTTGCCAAGTGGTGGGAAGGATTCCTAGCATGTTGCCTGAGGTACGTACGCATCGTTTCAATTATGATGTGCGTCATGATCGAGTAGTCCTGTGCAATGGCAATTGTTTCAGCTGTCGATGCGCAGCGGGGTAAACCAAGGCATATCCGAAGCGCTTGGGCTTGAATATTTTGGATTGTTCGCAGGTTCGTTTTGCATGTGTTAGATATAACAGGTAGGCTATACCGCAGGAATCCAGTAAATAATACCTTGTACAGCTGTAACATAGACTCGACAGACATTCCCCAACTTTTCCCAACAAGAAACCTGAATAAGTGACAAATGGAAGTCAGCCGCTTTTTCACGTAGTTTACGTGGGGTGTCCAAGACAGGTTTCGGTCGATTACGACTCCCAAGAACCTGTGACTCCGGCTGCATGACACCAACTGCCCGTTAATTGATATGCCGTAAGCGGACATTGGTTTTCTGGTGAAGGCCACGACTGCACACTTCTCACTTGCGATTTCAAGCCCTTGTTTGCGTAAGTGGTACGATGTCACTGATGCTGCCTTCGGAAGTCGAGCGCGAAGTTGAAGTCGAGTCACACGTGATGTGTACACACAGATGTCATCAGCATAAATGGAAAGTCGTACACTGCTTGGTTGCTTGCCAATTAGTTCAATGAGTGTTTGGTTGAACAGTGTCGGGCTTAGCACTCCGCCTTGCGGGACTCCTCGGCTGCAGTAATACTCGGGTGTCGGGCCATTCTCTGTCTGCACGTGAAATGATCTATTCTGTAGGTAGCTCTGAACCCACGTATATATCCTGCCACCGAGTCCCGCTCCTTCTAGTGCGCTGAGAATGGCTTCGTGGGTGACATTGTCGTAGGCCCCTTTAACGTCAAAAAATAGAGCAGCAGATAACCGCTTGCAGGCCTTCTGGTGTTCTACATATGTCACCAAGTCAACTACATTGTCAATTGACGAGCGGCCTCGTCTGAACCCGGACATGACATCTAGATATATTTCGTAGAATTCTAAGTACCATTCCAGACGCGTTAAAATCATTCTTTCCATAACTTTTCCCACACAGCTCGCGAGGGCAATCGGGCGGTAAGAGGAAATGTCCAAGGGTGACTTGCCGGCTTTGAGAAGTGGAATCAGGCGACTTGACTTCCATTCCTGTGGAACCATGCCAGTTTGCCAGGAGTCGTTGTACAGCTGCAAGAGTGCCTGCCGAGCTTGATCTCCTAGGTGACACAGAGCGCGGTAAGTGATGCCGTCAGGTCCTGGCGCAGAAGAACGTCAACACAAAGCAAGCACAGCCTTTAGTTCGTCCATTGAAAACGAAATCTCCATTCGGGGATCACGTGAGAATATAGAAAAGTCGGGCGTCTTCGTCCCAGTTGAATTTGAGCCGCAGGCAATCCTTCGACAGAAGGAATCTGCGACATAAATCTCTTCGCAGCGTAAGTGAAGTGCCAGAGATTTTAATGAGTAGCGCTGAGTAATGGTTGTACGAAGACCCCGGACAGTTCTCCAGATTAGTGACAGAGGCTTTCTGGGATCCAAAGACTCGCAAAAAGGTACCCATCGTTGCTTGGCCAACTTGTCCATGTGACGCTGTATTTTATTTTGTGTGCGTCTGGCCGCTCTCAGATCATCAAGTGACCTCGTGCGTCTATAACGTCATTCTGCACGACGACGAATTGCTCGGAGTTTCTCGAGATCAATGTAATTGATGTTATATGAAGCAGGTGACAAATAATGTGTTTTCTAGGCCAAAAGTTTGACATTTAGACAAGCGTTTGAAAGAAGATGTCCATGCTTGTGCAAGTGAGGCAGAGGGGTCGATGATTCGCTGTTCATCAATAAGTCGTTGGGTTGTCGCTGTGAGGCACGGGCTTGAGTTGGAGTGCGAAAATGCAAGTACCACTAAGATTGTGCGTGTCTGTGCTGACGTTAATCATTAACGAATTCAGCCGCCATTGCAAACACGGTCTCCGAGTCAATGCTAGCTTATCGCACTTAGTTCCGATTATGCAGAAAGCTGTGCAATGACGAAAGACTTCGGTTATGCCACGATGAAGGCCAACGCGCACGTCGTCGTCACCGGATGCCATTTTCCAAACACAAGTCACGTAAAAATGCGGTGATAGTTAAAAGCAACCCCCAAGCAAGTGCCGTCATATTTGAAGCGATACACGAAATAACTTTAAAAGAAAAAAAAAGAGCAAGTCTAATTCAAAACACTCATGAGAGATAATTTCTCTCGTCAACGAGCCATACTTGTCTAAATCTAATTGGACGCATTTAGGCAAGGACGAGCTGGGGTCGTCCAAAGCCGTTAGGCTCCGCCCATGCGCTACCCGCATAGCCGCGACGCCCGTGTCGAGACACCTGCCGCCCCCAAGCGGAGGGTGAAAGAGCGTCGCCGATTCCCTCCGCTTAGATGCGGCAGATGTCCCGGCACATGCATGGCGGCTGTGCAGGTAACGCGTGGACAGGCCTTTAAGGGGCTTCAGTAGTGCATTTTTGTTTCTGTTTTACCTTGTCCATTTGTATAGGGTGCGGAGCAACTTTGCGTGAACAACTTACAAAGTTACGCGAGAATATTAGATGAAAGCTGGCCATCCTCACCTGAGCATAACTTCTTGCCCCCTGGAAACGGATACACTGTCAAGGTCGACAGATAGAGCGCCCTGTGTTGGCGAGGTGAACTTAGCCGGCATTGATTGCTGGTGGGGGTGAGGTCAAGTACAAAATTGTGAAACCACTCTTCAGACATGCTCCACAAAGATGCTACAAATTAAGACAGATTGGCAATCACAGTTTTAAATGCATTTACGCTGACTAACCAAGTGGGCAGTCCTCCGGCTTGAATCATACGCAAGTCGGGGCTTTTCCAATATTGAAATGACTTAGTTGAATGCGAAAAGTGAAGGAATCAGTTAACCCTGTTCGAGCTATAGGTGCCGTCAGTCGTCGCTGTGGAAATTGGCCACTACGCGTCAATGCGAGTACATGCACGCCATTCGGTGCTATAGCTGCCAGACTCGAATAGGCATTGTACAAGCTTTCAGATACCACTATATAATAACCTCTTCTTTTGAGAAAACCCTATTCACTTTTCCGTGAAGACACGGCCGCTGAACGCTAAGGTGCTCGGCTGCTGACCCGCAAGTCGCAAGTTCGAATCCCGGCTGCCGCGGCTGCATTTCCGATAGAGGCGGAAATGTTGTAGGCCCGTGTGCTCAGATTTGGGTGGACGTTAAAGAACCCCAGGTAGTCGAAATTCCCGGAGCCCTCCACTACGGCATCTCTCATAATCAAATGGTGGTTTTGGGACGTTAAACCCCACATATCAATCAATCAACGGTCACTGAACGTGAGACTTGTCTTTCGCCCGAAGACTGGTTTGTTGGATTACAATGCTTGGATGCTATGCCTCCCCCCAGTCTCTTTCAATAAATTATTAGGTAAAGCACAAACTTCGAGGCACATGCTTGTATCCCTTTATGGCAGCGCATTCATAAATACTAGGTATGAAAATTTTCGCAGTATTGTTTCCCCCCCCCCTCCAAAACTTACGGAAATAAAGATAATTATTTTTGCCCTGACGAAGGATAAGCGTTAACATAGTATTCTGTTAAAAATGTTTCCATAGAGCTTACTCAACTGAAATGTGTTTTTCTCATTTTACAAAGTCACCTCCCTGCCATCATTTGCTGTGATTAACTTTTTTTAAAACGTGAAGAATCTGAGGGTTGCTATAGGAAAAACCACACATATACAACATCATTAAATACATCGCAGAGAGCCGGGTTTCAGAACTTCGGCACTATGCGAACCAAAAAATAATATGTGGGAGAGGTTTCACTTTGAATAATCTACTTATAACACAGCGTTATCTGCAATCTGGATTATCCTAAGCTTTCATGTTTGTCTACGGACTGAATATTTATACAGCTATTTTGTTCGTTGGCGTTATCAGTTATTGCTGTTTCATTTCTTAATATGTTTGATTGGGAAAGTTTTGAGACCATGTTTCACATATTCTATGAAGCCTGTAGGTGACAGGGTTTCTGTTTTTGAACTAGTACCGCAATCTTATTACTATTTACTATCACTTTTGCAATTACCCGATTGTCTCTGGCTCGAGATCTTATGTACGGATGAATGAACGGCTCGGATAAGACGTCCATTCGTACGTGCCTGCTAGAGTTAATCTCTCAAATCCTTTCAACTCGTAAAGTGTATGTCTAAATAATCCAAATAATAGATGAATAAATAAATGAAATTAAGTTAAAAAAATACACAGCTTACAGTCACATCACCGGCTCTGCTGATGCCGCTGTAAATCTGGTAGGCCATTGCGAAAAGCAGGCAAGCGGTCGCAGCTCCAACGCCGAAAAGGAATGGGAGAAGCATGCCACACGATAGCTCCATCTGCAGACATGACCAGATTTTGCCTCGATTAAGAATGTCACCAGAGCTATAGTTGTTTGACGTTCTTGATAAAGTATGCGCGTCGTACACAAACCTATAGGATCACGCAGAACAAGCGCCGACTCTCAAACACGGCGCAAGAATATTATTGACCGGTGTGATCTGAAAATATTCAAGAGCGACAAGAGAAGAAAAACGAAAACCGGGCCAAGCTCTGTGACGTGGGATGACACGAGGCTTACTTGTTCGCTCTTCTTTTCTGGCAAGCCATTTATTACCGGGTGATCGAACTTCGACTATAATAAAATCAAGAGTGGGAAGACAATTCTTGTCTTGTTTGGCACTTCATCCCGGCCATGCAAATTTCGTAAATTTATCTTTCGAAAAGCATCAACCAAATCGTCGAGCAAGCTGCAATACTGAAAATTTACTTCCCTTCCGACGATCCTTGAAGTGGAATTACTTGTATCGCTGAATCACAAGGAGTACACGTCTTCATTGAATAGGTCGATTGACCGATAAAGTGCCCGCAATGCACTCGAAGAGCAGATAAAAAGAACAGTCATTCGTTGCAAGAACTGCACACCAGACGAGCACGTGGTGCCCAAGCAACCGGCAACCAAGCGTATTAGATCATACACTGTAGCATGTGTACATGCCACAGTTACACATGTGAATTTTGCACTTTATTTCAGCCAGCAAGTGCTTGAACTCGTGTTTTAGCGGCGAAGAACTTTAGGAGCTATAGCCTTGCGCGGCGTCCAGCAATGTACCGACGTCCAAACTCGTATCACAACTGCTACAGAGCTGTGAAAAAAAAATGGTAGATCCCACGTACCTGGGAATCGACGTTACGCGAAGCATGCGGAGAAACGGTGACCATGTTGCACTTTTTTTTTTAGCGACACGTCATGAAATGACGCTAAATACCCGTACAAATGTTGCACGAACAGACATATGTTGAAAAGTTGAAGATGTTGATGTAATCAACTCTTTTCGCTTGCGCGACGATGCCAACTGGAACATGCGTATTGCCAATACCAGAACCTGATATGAAGCGCTGATGCTCGAGAAGATCCTAGTCCTGAAAACTGCTACATAAATATCAGTGCATGGCACCTAACCCCAATTCATGTTAGCCCGGCGTGACGGCTATATCAAAGGAGTAAATATGTATTGTTTATGAAAGTGGGTAGGCAGCATGGAAACCACTATTGACGTTCCACGAAGATTAGCGCCTATTTGAAAAGTAGTTACGAGAGCTGCCGTAGCTCGGTGGTAGAATGGTTCATTGCCACGCAGCAATGTTTGGTTGGATTCGAGCTGGAACCCTGACTTTACTCTATGCCTTCTTTGGGTCGACGCTACTGATGTCGGGTATTGCTAAACGCTCACGCATTAAAATTGCCCATGTGTTTTCTGCAGACATGACCAGATTTTGCCTCGATTAAGAATGTAACCAGACCTATTGTTGTTTGACGTTCTTGACGAAGTATGCGTGTCGTCCACAAACCTATAGGATCACAGAGAACAAGCGCCGACTCTAAAACACGGCACAAGAATATTATTGACCGGTGTGATCTGAACTCAATATTCAAAAGCGACAAGAGAAGAAAAAACGAAAACCGGGCCAAGCTCTGTGACGTGGGATGACACGAGGTTTACGTGTTCGCTCTTCTTTTCTGGCAAGCCATTTATTACCGGGGGATCGAACTTTGACTATAATAAAATCAACAGAGTGGGAAGACAATTCTTGTCTTGTTTGGCAGTTCATCCCGGTCGGGCTAATTTTGTAAATTTATCTTTCGAAAAGCATCAACCAATTCGTCGAGCAAGCCGCAATACTGAAAATTTACTTCCCTCCTTGACGATCCTTGAAGTGGAATTACTTGTATCGCTGAATCACATGGAGTACACGTCATCATTGAATAGGTCGATTGACTGATAAAGTGCCCTCGATGCACTCGAAGAGCAGATAAAAGAAAACAGTCATTCGTTGCAAGAACTGCACATCTGACGAGAACGTGGTGCCTGAAGTAACCGGCAACCAAGCGTATTAGATCATACACTGTAGCATGTGTACATGCCACAGTCACACATCTGAGTTTTGCACTTTATTTCAGCGAGCAAATGCTTGAACTCGTGTTTTAGCGGCGAAGCTCTTGAGGAGCTATCCTTGCCCGGCGTCCAGCAATGTACCGACGTCCAAACTCGTATCACAACTGCTACAGAGCTGTGAAAAAAAAAATGGCAGATCTCACGTACCTGGGAATCGACGTTACGCGAAGCATGCGGAGAAATGGTGACCATGTCACCACACGTCATGAAATGCGACACGTCATGAAATGACGCTAAATACACGTACAAATGTTGCACGAACAGACATATGTCGGTTGCAAATGTTGATATAACCAGCTCTTTTCACTTGCGCGACGATGCCAACTGGAACATGCGTATTACCAACACCAGAACCTGATATGAAGCGCTGATGCTCGCGAAGATCCTAGTCCTGAAAACTGCTACATAAATATCAGTGCATGGCACCTAACCCGAATTCACGTTAGCCCGGCGTGACGGCTGTATCAAAGAAGTAAATATGTATTGTTTATAGAAGTGGGTAGGCAGCGCGGCAACCACTATTGACGTTGCACGAAGATTAGCGCCTATTTGAAAAATAGTTCCGAGGCCTGGCGTAGCTCGGTGGTAGAATGATTCATTGCCACGCAGAAATGTTTGGTTGGATTCGAGCTGGAACCCTGACTTTACTCTGACTTCTTTGGGTCGACGCTACTAATGTCGGGTATTGCTAAACGCTCACGCATTGAAATTGCCCATGTGTTTTCTTGTCGTTCCTGGGTAGATACTAAGTGTCAATCAGCTGTGACACCCATATACTCGCCCGTGGGTATGTGCCACTGTCTGGCGGGAAGTGTTTGACGACGTACGCGGCGGGATTGTGACATTATTCATGCCTTGACCAGCGCGTCATATTTGTGAAACCATCTTACCCTCCCATGCTAATTTTGGTTCACGCCAAGTTAAAGGGGTGACCATGAGAGCACCCAAACGTAAGCGGCTAGATAGATGATACGCTCCAAGTCGCCGAAGTTCACTAAGAAATGCCTCGCATTGAAAACCTCCTCCGCCATCCCTGCGTCCATCCACTTGTCCATCGATCTGTGAGTTCATCCGTCCATGCGTGCATACGTCCATCCATCCGTCCTTCCTTTGGACTAGTCGGCAACTTTAACGTAGACATTATGGACCTTAGGGCGAAGCTCTA